GGCCATGAGCCCTCGCCTTTGTGAGCTGCGGCCGCTCCCCGGAGCGTGCCGGCATCAGCCTCGGTGACTTGTTGCTCCGTATTTCTCAGCCAGCTCCGGCTCTTGAGGTGTCCCTTCTGCAGCGAGGCTGAGGCAAACCAACTGCTGGCTTTCTCCGGCATGGCCTGTCCTGAGAGCTGCCTCCCCTGGTCACCCGTGAGATCCACCTTTGTCTCACAGGCTTCCTGGCATGGGCGCGCGCTGAGAAGTCTCTGCTGCTTCTTGCAGTGCTTGGCTGTTTGTTCTCCATCCTCCCTTTAGCCTCTCCTGGGTAAACCCGGGTCTTATCCTTGCCCTGCCTTGTTCTTCCCTCAGAAGACTGTTTCCCTCACCCAGGTACCCCTTGAACCTCGTCCCTCGGCAGGGCAACCAGGGCATTTTGCCTCCCCACTGCCTTTGTGGGTTATTGGGGCTTTGGTGCTCCCAGGTCTCTGTGCTGACTCAAAAGGCCAGTGCGATCTCACTTTTGTTGTGAAAGTCTCCTTGGGGACAGAACTGCCCTGGCCAAAGCCAGCTGTCTGTATGACCACCTCTTCCCAGTCTCTGGGGAAACGAACTGCATTGTGCCTGTTCTCCCTCCGCGGCTGCTCCATAGCTAAGCCCAACATGGCCTCTCCTCCTGAGGGACTCAGATGAACTGTTCCAGACAGTGGCCATTTCTGATATCGAGAAATCGTATCTCCGAGACTTGCCCTGTTGTGACTGGCTCATATGATGGAAGGAAATATGTCTTGCTACCGCTGTTCATTCGCTGCTGCCTTTTAGCACTGTGCTTGCTCTGGAGCCATGAAGGATGCTTGTCCTTCTGCGTAAGCATGTGCCCATGTGGACCTGACTCTGGGGGCTGCTCTGCCCAGGTCCAAGAGGATTTGTCAGGCCGAATGTGCCCACCTTCGCCTTTACCTAATGTTTCTCTTGACTGTACCAGCCAAGGCCCTTGGAGACGGACAACAGCGTTTGTTTTGCCAGCCATCTCAGATGAAAGTCAGAATGGCTGCTGTGGGCTTTTTCCCCAATTAAGGAAGAGAATGATTCATGTCAACAGGAAGCGTCACAAACCATCTATAACGCAGTCTGCACTAGCACCCTGTCCGTGGCCCTGGCCAAAAGAAATTGTCCAGAGAAGAGTAAGGGAGCACAACCTGTGCAATACCTTCCAAAATGACACTTCTCTAGCATCCAACCACCTGCACTTCAGGGGCTTCCTCAGCCAGGTGTTGTTTCTGTATATTTAGTAACCTTTGACCAATTCCTCTTCTGTGACCTTACCCAGTCGCCTCTGGAGTCCACCAGAAAGGAAAGAGAGACTTGGCATCAGCCCCATCTTGGGGCAAGGTGTTCCTCAGATCTCTTATTTTTAGCAGAACCATGTGAAGAAGAAATGCCTCCTTTTGTCTGTTTTGCTGACACCAAGTGAATTATACCCTAAAGTGACCATTTCTGTCCCTGGGCTCCATTAGTATCTCCATCGTGCAGGTGTCTATGGAGACAATCCGGTTGCTTGCTGGATCAGCCAAAGGAGTTAATGCTCTATTTTAGGGCCTCTCTCTGCATCTACTGTGTTTCAAACTTGCTTCCAGCTGTTGTCACTGTAGGGAAACTGGTGGCAAGAAGCAGCAAAGCTTGGAGTTTGGTTTGTTACTACAGCTGCAACAAAGGGTATGACCCCCAGCATAAAGGTACTCAACACCCCCAGCTCTCCACACCTCTCCTGAGAGCACGTTTGTTTCTGAGACATAGAGGTACCCACCGAGATCCAGGCAGTGGTCTGAGACGCTCTCTTGGGTTGATGTAGTAACTGCACATTCAGTCAGGGACAGGGTGAGGTTTCGTGGTGTTCCCTATGGAGATAATGAAGAGCTCTTGCGTGCTTCCCAACACAGGGCTCTTCTGGCTGCCACAACACCCAGTCTTGAGCCAGGAACCCTGATCCCGCTTGAATAACTTCGTCACCCGTGACACCCAACTCTCCTCACCATGCTTACCACGTCCATAATAAGATCAATGAACAGCTGGGACTTTGTGAAGAGCAAAGCAATGGGTCAATCCTATTCTTCGGCTACTGCCTTCTTGTTGATTTTTTGAAGTCACAATACTTTGCTTCGTAACAGCTTCACTTCTCTTCAAAGGCCTCTGAAGTCTCTGTATACCCTCCCACCAAACCGGTGGGTTCCCCTGCGTCCATTACTTCCTCGATGGGGACATACTAGGTGACTGACAGACCGATACACCAATTTTCTTGGTGAAAACCTCTGGTTTAGACTCTATCGGAGTTCTGAGTTCCTTACTGAAAACCCAGCCCTTTTACAAGACACAAATGAGACATGTTAGTCTGGTAGAGACCATTTAAAGTGGGGGGGGTCTGGTTAAGCAGAGTGTATCCAGAGATAATACCTCTTTTACAAAGTGACGTGTTGCAGCCGGCAGCTCAGCCGCCTTCTCGTCTCCTGGGGCGCAGTCTGGGCCTACAAGAGCAAACTGCCAGATCAGCGCTCTTTGGTAGTGGGGCTGCTGGGATGCCGTCCTCCATTGCTGAGGAAGGGCAGCCAGGGCCGGACCTACGAGTACTCTTGGTGAAGACGCTGACATCCTTGTAAGGGCTCTCTTGTCTTGTCAGGCCTTGTGCTCCAACGGACAGAGGTGGTACACAGACATGAAAGCTCTCCTTTTCTTCAGCAAAGCGCTTGCATGAGACTCTGCGTTGGCAGCCAAAGTGCTCCAGGCCACCTGCTGCTAATCCTCAGCCCCACAAGCACAAATTCTCTGCGTCTTTACTATACCCCCTGGGCATATGGGAGATTTCTCCCCCTGCCCCTCAAGAAGAAAAAGGTTACTGTCTATTCTTCTGCAGCAGAATAGAGATGAAGGTGTTTCTTTCCCACTGTATGAAGCAGGCAGAGCAGAGAGAGGATGCCAGACCTCCAAAGCCACCCACCCACTCTCAGGAAGCCACAGACTTGCTGCAGGACCGGCAAGGGATGTGGGGGCTCCGCAGCAGCCAGCCTCCTAAGAACGCCTCTTGGGCTCAAGCAGGTTCTTGCAGTTGCTGCTTGTGTATTTGCAACCCTGCCCCTTCAGGCGTCTGAGGGCTGTTCTGCCTTTCCCACTGAGGTGAGGTGAGCTGTCCGGAGATCCAGTGGCCCAGGGTGCACGTGCCAGTGCCTGGGCACTGCTTAGAGGCTTGGAGAGCTGTTGCTTCTTCTTCTGCATGTAGGATTATATTGAGTGTGTGCAGTGCTTCAGGACCAGCTCCTTCCAGCAGCGATTCCTGCT